CTTTCTTTCTTTCTTTCTTTCTTTCTTTCTTTCTTTCTTTCTTTCTTTCTTTCTTTCTTTCTTTCTTTCTTTCTTTCTTTCTTGCTCACCGGTTCTCTGTACATGCCCTGGAGAACCCGAGGCCCTTTCCTTTTTTACTTTCATATATGTTCGGTTTAAACAAAGAAGTCCAGGATCCTGCAGCCGGGATTCTGTGGTGCTCCCAAAGCGGCAGGATGGGGGTTGGGGTTACAGAGGGAGGAGCGAAAAGGGAAAAGACTCACCAGATTCTTGTGCGCATGGTACAGCTCCTGCAGCAGCTCTTCCACGATGGTGTTCGTGAGATAGGTCACCACCGACAGTTTCACTTCACTGGGGAAAGGTCAAGAGGGACAGCCGCCAGAGGTCAAGAACATCTGAAGTCAAGATGACTTAACCTACATACAGGGGGACCCAGGTATCTGAAGGGGATCGGTTCTAAAAAAAACCCTGTAGATACTGAAAAATGTGGATGATAGCAAATGGTATTATAGAGGCTGACCTCGCTTTACGAATTTGATGCATTCTCCGGGATGTTTCAAATTTTGAAAAATTTGCAAACCGAAACGTGGTTTCCCATAGGAATGCATGAATGGGGGCGGCACTATAAACCTCCCAGGTGCAATGCATCCAGGGTAAAACTTCGTATTACAATTTTTTTTCATAAACAGAGGCATTATTTTCAATGGATTTTCTTTCGTAAACCGAAAATTATGTTGACGAGGCGTTTGTAAACCGAGGTACGCCTGTAATAGCAAACACTATGTATAACGTGGTTTCTGACTCCCTCTAGTGGCCAGTTCTAGTAACCACATCTTTAGAAATGCACATTTCTAGGGGTTTTCTTTTCGTATTTTTAGACTGTGGACAAGTGAATCAGCGGATGCTGATATCACAGATAAGGAAATCCTGCTATACTCCTAATTGAAGAATTAGATTCCTATCCTCTTTTCCCGAAACCCTTTATTCAACCCTCTTGGAACTCGCACAGGCTTTTCCCCGATTTCACTGCGGCTCACGGCTTTCCCCCGCCCCCTTCCTCCTCGCGGGCCAAAGCCCCTCCTCACTTCAGCTTGTTCTGAATATCTTGGCCAGCTTGTTCCAGCAGAGCTCCCCGGATGAAGTTTCGGGGCACTGTGACACGCTCCGAAACGGCTGCCAACATCTTGTTGTGCTCTTCGGCCGCCTGGACAGCATGGGGGCACAGCTCCTGCGTCAGGGCCACCATGGACTCCAGGATGACCTAGCCACGAGAGAAGAGGATGGTGGGACCCCGGACTCAATCTCAGGCTAACCAACCCCCCCCCCAACAGCATGTTTTCTCTTTGGGAATCCAGCTGGTTGTTATTTTGCAGAATTCTACGCAGAACTTGAACTCAGACCTCGTAGGGTTGACCGGCTACTGTAAGTGCAAAGGGAACTGATCGTTTGGCCGTGGAAGCCGCCAGAAAAAAAGGTGGTTGAGACTTCTAAATCAGAAACTACAAGCTATTGTAATGGGAGATGCAGACTTGCTTCAATTCAAAACGCTAAGCTCCTGTTGAAACCAGACTTAAATTATTTTCTTACTATACTTATGAACAGAGTAAGACCCCATATTCGTGGGGATCATTTCCAAGACCGCCCCCCCGTGGATGCTGAAATATGTAGATGCTAGCGAACACTATACATAGCATAGTCTCTGTCTCCCTCTAGTGGTCAATTCTGGCAACTTCATCTTTAGAAATATATATCCCTAGGATATTTCTTTTAATATTTTTAGACCATGGACAAGTGAATTAGCCGATACTGATCCCGCGGATACAGGGACCCTACAGTAATTTTTAAAAAATAAATCCAAAATAGAGAAGTGCAGATCGGTGTTTCTGGACTACAACTCCCAGAATCCCCCAGGCAGTGGCTGTTTCGGAAATCTGGGGAATTTAATTCAAACACCCCTCTAATCAAAAACAGATCTGCAAGTTCTGTGTCCCTAAGATGGCCAGGACTTCTTTCTCCTTACCTGAAGTTCCTTGTCCACTGCTTTTGACACCTCGTTGACCACGGACTCCAGCCTGTGGCGAACGGGTCCGTCACTGGCCAAGATGTGGCCTAACTCGTACAGGCTGGGGAACAGCTGGAGGGAAAAAAGCAAGAAGGGACTCTTAGCGGCTCTAGAGGGAAAAGACTGTAGAGAGAGACAAAGACTGTGGGAGACCTTTTTTTTGTGGAAGTCAGTTTAAGTTGGAGCAGCACAGGATTTGGTGTTTCCGGATGACAATTCCAGAACAAAAATCTGCACATCTCTCACTTAAGGCAGATGCATTTGGGTTCAAGCTGAACATCCTCTCGAACCTTGCTTAGACTGGCTTCATTTTTATTTTTTAACCTTATGAGAAGCAGCCGTACTATCTCCTCCCGTAACAGAGTTCAGAATCATGGTCTGGGGAAAGAGGCACCGTACCTTCTTCCTGCTCATCCCCCTGGCCAATTTTCTTTCCAAAAAATCATTCTTGAAGTTATCCGGAAACGAACAGGTTCATTGGGAAAGGAGAGAGGGGGGCAGGGGGTGGGGAATGTTGCTTTCCCCAGCATCACGGTCCCAATCAGGATTGCGATGGGAGAGGCGAAGGCTACCTGTCTTCAACACCACGATGCGGACAAAATTTAAAAAGTGGACTCTGAATCCTCTGGGTTGCGATTTTGCTCCCAAAAAAACAGAACCGCTAGCCCTCAGAGGGCCTGGCTTTGGAGTGAAGGAGGGGGCTGCACTGATGTCTGTGGTTCAAAGCACTCTTTTTATGATGGTTTGCTACGAATGGCCAGAGTTGTACCCTGAGACATCAGCACCGGGTTAAGGAAGGGCTGCATTTAACTTGCAAGGGTGTTACATTCGAGCAAGAAGCCATCTCCAAGAGGAGAGCCTTGGCTTGTGACGCAGAAGGAGATCAAGTTAATCCCTTGTGTCTCTACTTTAAAAGGATCGTGTGGTTAGTTAGTTAAATATGTGCCATCAAGTCAGAACGGGCTTATAGTGGCCCAAACAGGGCTTTTCAAGGGAACTGTGATATTTAAGGAGTGCTTTTACCAGGTACGGGCTTATAGTGGCCCAAACGGGGCTTTTCAAGGGAACTGCGATATTTAAGGAGTGGTTTTACCAGTTCCTCTCTCTCAGTGAATTTCCACAGCCGAGCGGGGATTTGAACCCTGGTCTTCAGAGTCCTCGTCCGTCACTCAGTCTGCTAAATCACACTGGGTAGCAAAATGTGTAAAAGATCCTTTGATGCTGGAGCAAAGCCTTGAAAAAGGATGGGTTGGTGGGCTGGTGGTGTTATAATAATTATAGCATCTTAGAATGGCAGAAGTGTCAAGGAGGCCCAGTGAGGAATCGAATTCCCAACCTCTGTGTGGCTCTGGGGGATGGCTCTTGGGTTGAATCCTGGCTCAAGGTGTAAAGGACAAGTTCTGAAATGGAGGACAAGCTCCGAGATGTCTAGATGGGGAAAGGCTACAGGGACGTGGCTTCCACATGGCGATTGTAGGAAGCCTATCATCTCACCGCCCGCGAGTTCTTGGCCTCCTTCATGAGCTCCCGGGCATAGAGCACTTCTTCTTGAACGCTGTCGGCTGAGCAGGTTCGCAAAACCCGCACTTCCTCCTGGACTCTCACGCAGAGGCGGCTCATCATCTAGGGGAGGGTAGAAGACACGGCCGTCAGCTCCCACCCTAAAGGACCCACTAAGTCCCAGACGCCTTTGCACCAAGCTAGCCAATCGGCAAACCTGCAACCAAGCTAGCCAATCGGCAAACCGGCGACAAAGCTAGCCAATCGGCAAACCTGCGACCAAGCTAGCCAATCGGCAAATCTGCGACCAAGCTAGCCAATCGGCAAACCTAGTAGAATGGATGGGACGGGACAGTACAGGGAGATGGGAACGTTTACTTGCTCGGCGCTATTGGTGACGATTCCTTGGTGGAGGCGGAAGGCTTGGTCCTGCGGGAACTTCTGCGAGTGGTTGTTCCGGAGGAGACACCACTGGATCTGAAGGGGAACAGGAATGAATGAGAGGTAGATGGAGAGATGGACGGCCAAGTCACGGCGGGACCCTGTGTGGATCCATTGAAAGAAATGGGAGCTGCATGGTCACTACAAAATAAAGTGCAAATGTACAAACAGGGAATACTTTTTAAAGACACCAAATATATACAGTGGTGCCTCGTTTGACGACGTTAATTCATTCCAGCGAAAGCGCTGTAGAGTGAAACCGTCGTCAAACAAAATTAAAAAACCCATTGAAACACACTGAAAACCGTTCAATGCGTTCCAATGTGCTGAATACCTGCTCGTCCAGCGATCCTCCATACGGCAGCTATTTTCTGGTGCCTGTTATGTGAAAAAGCCTTCCTAAAAACAGCAGGGGGGCCATTTTTTTCAGCCGGTGGCCATTTTGAAACCCGACAATCAGCTGTTTGCTGATTGTCATAAAGTGAAAATCGGTTCCCGAAGCAGGGAACCGATTGTCGCAAAGCGGAAACCCCCCATTTAAACCATTGTTTTGTGATTACAAAAGCGATTGCAAAAACCTAATCATACAGTGATTTCCTCATTAAGTGAGGCAATCGTTAAGCGAGGCGCCACTATATATATACTACCTCTACGCGAGCTTTCGTAGATCAAACACCACTTCTTCAGGCTTGTACCAGTGCGAAGAACTTAAAAGTGCCGGGCAAGTTACTCTCAGAAGTAAAGCCCAAAATTTCTTGGCGAGACGGATTTCACCAGGCTCGTCTTTCTTAGGTGTCAGTCACCGGCGAGGCAGGCTGCACCAGGGCGGTTGTTTTAAAGTTGCAGCTGAGGGTTGGAGATCAGGTCACGCGGGTTGCGCACGCCTCCCCGTGTTTTAGCGGCCTGTAAAAGTATCGCCTATTCCTTGTGCCCGTCAAGACTCACCCTTTGCCACACCTCGTCGGTTCTCTCCGGGGCGTTGCGGTAGGCGGCCGTGATGTCACTCATGGGGAAGGACATGAACTTCAGCGTGTAGTTACTGCGGAGTAAGGTGTGGGTGTCAGAGGCTGGAGGGGTCACCCCACGTCTCACCCGCTCCTGACACATTTCAATCCCCGATGACACTTTTTTCGACCAAAGAGCAAACCACCGCCCGAGTGAAAGCCACATTAAAAAATTCGACTGGGGGGGAGCACTGGTGATCTGCTTCTGGTCGCACACAGAGGCGAGTGGGAAATGGTTCTCTGAGGTACCTCGTCTGTGGGAAATTATCGCAATTCTCACACTCACTTCTCCAAGGCCCGGGCGATGTCTTGAAAGCCTTGTGCAGTTGTATTATTCCTGTCCCAGGAAATGCTCCTGGAAAGCAGAAAAAAATATCATCCCATCTCACACGACAGCAACAAAAACTTAACCCAGCACCAGCTAAAGAATGGTGTCTCTCCTGTGCTGCATCAGACAAACATTGATATTAAGGGGAAGCATCCTCTGTTAGGCGGCCATCCTAGCCAGGAGTCAGGTTGCAATTAAAACATCCTCTTGAGATGCATTTCTCTGAGTTCTCGCACGCCGTGGAAAAACAGCAAGAGAAGGCCAGCTCACAAAAGCACAGACGTGCGGGAATACACACCCAAACCACAAGCTTTCTCATGAGCCGTGATTCCCAACCTTGGGTTCCAGATGTTCTTGGACTAGAACTCCCAGAAATCCTGACCAGCACAGCTGGTGGTGAAGACTTCTGGGAGTTGTAGTCCAAGAACATCTGGTGGAGACTCAAGATTGGGAACCACTGACCCACAGCATGCAGGGGCGCATATCAAATAGAATACCGCTGGGAAAAGCTGAAGGCAGCCGGGAAAGAAGAGACTCTGTATGAAATGGATTGATCCAATAAAGGAAGCCACAGACTTGAATTTGCAAGAGCTCAGCGGGGCTGTTCATGACGGGACCTTTCGGAGGTCATTAATTCATGGGATCGGCATACATCAGTGACGGCGTGTAAGAACAACATTAAATCATCACTGTTTCTTTCCTGTATAACAGTAATGTTGGTTTGTGGAGGTTTTCCCCATTACTTTGGGGAACCTATTGAAAGGATCATATTTCCCCAGATTTAAGCTATTTTCTTACTTATGAAGAAAACCCACAAAAAAACTGAAGAAGTCACAAGGATCAGAACGAATTACAGTGGTGCCTCGCTTGACGACGTTAATTCGTTCCAGCGAAATTGCTGTAGAGCGAAAAGGTCGTAAAGTGGAATAAAAAAGCCCATTGAAACGCATTCAATATTGAAAGGATCATATTTCCCCAGATTTAAGCTATTTTCTTACTTATGAAGAAAACCCACAAAAAAACTGAAGAAGTCACAAGGATCAGAACGAATTACAGTGGTGCCTCGCTTGACGACGTTAATTCGTTCCAGCGAAATTGCTGTAGAGCGAAAAGGTCGTAAAGTGGAATAAAAAAGCCCATTGAAACGCATTCAAAACTGTTCAATGCATTCCAATGAGCTGAATAACTCACTGTCCAGCGAAGATCCTCCATGGGGCGGCCATTTTTGCTGCCTGTAAAGCGAGGAATCCGCCCAAAAACATAGCGGGGAGCCATTTTGAGCAGCCGACGGCCATTTTGAAAACCCGACCTTCAGCTGTTTTGATCATCATAATGCGAAGAATCGGGAACCGATCGTCGCAAAGCGAAAAAGACCCCATTAAAACATTGTTTTGCGATCGCAATTGTGATCCCCAAAACATCATCATGAAGCAGATTCATCGTTATACAGGGTAATCGTTAAGCGGAGCACGACTGTACTTTAAAACAAAATCCTCATGTCCACAGCAATTAATTGCTGTGCAGGGCTTTGCAACGAGTGAATGAAGTGGGATGCGGCTGCAAAAAAGGCCAATTTTTTTTTAGGCTGCATGATGGGAAGTCTAGTCTCTGAAGCCAGGTTTCAGCTGAATATCAAGAAAAACTTCTTAACTGTTAGAGCATTACGAGAAGGGAACCCATGTCCTGAAGAGGTGGTGAGCGCTCCAGCACTGGAGACAATACAGTGGGGTCTTGACTTGAGAACTTAATCCATATTGGAAGGCGGTTCTCAAGTCAAAAAGTTCTCAGGTCAAATCTGCATTTCCCATAGGAATGCACTGAGAACCATTTGATCCGTATCTGCTCTTTTCCGTCCATAGAAACTAATGGGAAGCTGCTATTCTGCCTTCGACCACTAGAGGGGGATATTTTGTTTCTTTTTTTTCATGTCCTGAAGAAGTGGTGAGCGCTCCAGCACTGGAGACAATAAAGGAAAAAACTGGACCACCCGCTATCCGATCTGCTTCGACTTGGATTCCTGCCTTGAGCAGGGGGTTGGACTGGATGGTCTTCGAGGCCCCCTTCCCACTCCGTGATTCTATGATTTACTTGTACACATGCAATACAGTAGATAGGAAAAGAGGATTCCGCGAATGACTTTCAAAAGGTAACTTCTGATGTTCCGGCTTTCCCACCTCAGCGTGCTGTTGATCTGCAAGGCTTTGGAGAGCATCTTGGCCCCGATGTCCTCCATGCCGTTCCCGCTCAGGTCCACTTTGGTCAAGCAGGTGTTGCTGCCCAGGGCGTTGATCAGGATGCTGGTGCGGGTCTTGAGCCGGGAATCGGCCACCGAGAAAGACTGCAGCGACTTTTGGGAGAGGGTATTCATATATGAAAACCCCCATCTCTAATTTAGATTTCTAAATTTAAACTGTGTTGACTCGTAAACTACAAATCTCTATATTCTATCATCTGTCATTTCAGCCTGAGAATACAGGGTCATGGATTAGGTACCTGACTGTGGTTAGGAGTTCGATTCCCCCCCCCCCAGGCCTCCTTGGCAGGAGAACCAGCCTGGGTGGCCTTGGGCCAGCTGCCCTGTCTCCCAGTTGCTCCAAGAAGAAGGGAAGGGGAAACCAGTTCTGAGTCTTTATGGGTCACCATAAATCAGAATTTTCTTGACAAAACGTGTATTATTTTCAATAGTAGATTGGGGCTGGACTCAATGATCCAGAGAGTTCATTCTGGCTCTGCCGCTCTAAGAGGATAATTTTTTTATAGCTAATGACTTACACAGTCTTCCTCTTGGATAAACTGCACAATTTTCTGAAGGATTTCCTCCAACGTTCTGGGAAAGAGAGAAGAAGCGCGGGGTCAACCTCATGGCATGGGGGCAGAGGGAGAACCACGAAGGGAGGAAAAACCTTTAAGGACTGACCCCCCCGAATTGTCCTAGTTTGTGTAGGAAGTCCTAAGACAGCCACTGAAATCACTGAGGTCAGGATGGAGAAGGGGAGGGGAACGGATGAAAGACAGGTTAGAAATGCAGCTCTTCAGAATCCTACAGCCGTGCCAGATGTGGGATTCTTCGCTGCAGAGCCTAAGGCCGTCGTTCCCGACCTTGGGTCTCCAGATGTTCTTGGACTGCAATTCCCAGAAGCTTTTACCACCAGTTATGCTGGCCAGGAATTCTGAGGGTCTTTGTCCCAAGAACATCTGGGTTACCCAAGGTCGGGAACCACTGGCCTAAGGTCACAAACCCACCATAGCTTCTGACAAAAGAATGGTGGTGGTGGGGTCACAGCTTTGCAAAAGGTGGAATAGTTCTCCAGAGCCGTGGTTCTCAAACTGGGCCCCCCAGATGTTCTTGGACTGCAACTCCCAGAAATCCTGGCCAGCACAGCAAGGGGTTGAAGGCTCCTGGGAAAGGCAGTCCAAGAACATCTGGGGACCCTAGTTTGAGAACCACGGCTCTAGTAGACCAAGCCTTACCAAAGGACCATTTCCAGAGTTATCTGAGGATGTCAATACAGTGGTGCCTCACATAGCGATGATAATCGGTGCAGCAAAAATCGCTGCTAAGCGAGTTCATTGCTATGCGATTTAAAAAAGCCCATAGAAACGCATTAAAACCTGTTTAATGCGTTCCTATGGGCTAAAAACTTACCTTCAAGCGAAAATCCTCCATACGGCGGCCATTTTTGCTGCCCGGTAAGCAAGGAATTTGTCCCTAAACACAGCTGGTGGTCTTTTTTTTTTACCCAGTGGCCATTTTGGAACCACCGATCAGCTGTTAAAAAATCATTGCTTTGCGATGATCAGTAAGCGAAACAGGGAACCAATCATAGCAAAGCAAAAAAAACCATTCAGACCATCGCAAAGCGATCGCAAAAAGTTAATCGCTATGCGATTTCGTCGTTAAACAAGGCGCCCGTTAAGCAAGGCACCACTGTATTACAGTTTTCCCTAAGTATGATATAAGGCACCAAGCCGGTCTTCTCCAACATACTATGTTTCCCCTAAAGTAAGACATGGTCTTATACCAATTTTTGCTCCAAAAATGCATTAGGGCTTATTTTCAGGGGATGTTTTATTTTTTTCTTGCACCACCATCTACGTACATTTATTCAAAGACAGCCCTGTCCTCTTCTTCTGGTTGCTTCACAAGGGTGGAGGGTGGGGGTTTCACTTAACTTGGGCTTATTTTTGGAGTAGGGCTTATATGACCAGCATCCTGAAAAATCATCCTAGGGCTTATTTTCAAGTTAGGCCTTATTTTCGGGGAAACAGGGTAATACCTGCCTGATATTCTAGAACAACTTCTACCCGGTCTGGCCGATGTTCAGAAACGATGGGAACTGTAGTCTTTAAGATCGAGAGCACACTCAACTTAGGGAAGAGTGGTCCAGATCTCTGCATAGCCAAATCTACAGCTTTGGTGAGCCATAAGATCTATCTAGCATAATATGTGATCAGCTAACCAGACCGATGTCATCTTGGGAGAGCTATAGGCATTCTGCCTCATTTCCAATTTTGCCTTTTTAGAATCAGGATTGCTGGCTCAAAAGACCAGTTAGGAAGTGTTAGTGTCTCTCCAGCCAGTAACAGCACAGAACCACCTTTTGACTAAAGAATACAAAAGCATTATCGGCATCGTCACTGCACAGTTCTAGACCACACAACAAAGGCAAGGGGCTAACCCACCGGGATTTGACGTTGAAATTCTTGCCCAGCCAGAGGTGTTTCAGAGACTTGCACTTGCTGAGCGCTGGGACGAGGGTGAGCAAGTCAGCATCAAAGCCTGGAGCAAGGAAAAGACAGATGCAGAACGGCTGAAGGGGTGGGAATCCAAGGATCACAGCCGGAGCAGCAACCAGAGAACGTGCAGACTTACCATTGTCAGAGAGGTCTAGGCTACTCAAGGCGCTGATTCCGGGCAGTTGTTCTTGAAGCACCTGGGCTCCTGGAGAGCGCAGCTGTGTGAAAGGAAAGAGAGAGGAGGGTGCACGTGAGTGACTCAGAAGGGAAATGAGGAAATTGGTGTTGTTTAGTCGTTCAGTCATGTCCAACTCTTCGTGACCCCATGGACCAAAGCACGCCAGGCCCTCCTGCCCTCCACGGCCTCCCAGAGTTTGGTCAAAATCATGTTGGTCGCTTCGATGACCCTGTCCAACCATCTCGTCCTCTATCGTCCCCTTCTTCTCCTCTTGCCTTCACACTTTCCCAACATCAGGGTCTTTTCCAGGGAGTCTTCTCTTCTCATGAGATGCCCAAAGTATTGGAGCCTCAGCTTCAGGATCTGTCCTTCCAGTAAGCACTCAGAGTGGATTTCCTTTAGAATGGATAAGTTTGTTCTCCTTGCAGTCCAGGGGACTCTCAAGAGCCTCCTCCAGCACCACAATTCAAAGGCATCAATTCTTCGGCGGTCTGCTTTCTTTATGGTCCAGCTCTCACTTCCATACATCACGACAGGGAAAACCATAGCTTTGACTATTCAGACTTTTGTCGGCAAGGTGATGTCTCTGCTCTTTAGGATGCTGTCGAGGTTTGTCATCGCTTTCCTCCCAAGGATGGGAAGTAGCCCATTACGATAAAAATCTGATTTTGAAAAGCTCTGAGGGAAACCACCTTATAAAGCATCTCAGAGAATCATGAAGTTGGAAGAGACGTATCAGGCCAACTCCCAGCTCAAGGCAAGAATCCAAATGCAAGCACAACAGACTGATCGTTGTCCAATTTTCTCTTGAAGGCCTCCAGCGTTATAGCGCTTCACCACCTCTCAAGGTCATGGGGTCCATTGCTGTACCGCTCTAACCATTGAGAAGTTTTTCATGATCTTCAATCAAAATCTGGTTTCCTGTAACTTGAGCCCATGGTTGCGTGTCCTGCACTCTGGGATGATCGAGAACAGACCGTGCCCCTTCTCTGTAGGACAGCCTTTTCAAATACTCGAAAAGTGCTACCTTATCTCCCCTCCGTCTTCTTTTAGGCCCAATTCTTCCACTCTTTCCTCACAAGGCTTGGTTTCCAGCCCCCTCAGCCCTCAATTCCTCACACATGAAGGAGAAAGAAAGTCACTTCCTACACCCCCCATGTCAGAATTTCAGGTAATTTTCAGTGGGCATCGGTCTGATCTTGCCGGCAGATTATTCCTCTGCATTTCCATTTCTTCCATTTCTTTTGTGAGCCCAGAAAATCTTTCTCACTTTTTAAAACCCTTCAGTATCACCTGCACACAGGTAAGCTGAGTGCTGCTGTTCCGCGTGCAGTGAGTGATGTTTAGAGCACTTGACCCCTACGGATACGCCTCTTCATTTTGAAAGATCTCCTTTATATTAGAACTCAGGTCCATTTTAGGAACACTGAAAAATCCAGCTCATTTAGGACAACCTAGCTCATTTTCAAAATTTGCCATAAAACACATTTTCACCAATATCTATTTTCAAAGTATTAAAACATTGGTGGAATAGTGCTTAAATGAACAACGATCTTAGCACAGATCATTAAAATTGTTTTACAAAACCTAAAACACACAAAAACGACATCCAAAAGTATGTTTCAGCTTCCCCATCCAAAATGTTATCCTACATCCCCTAGTTTGGACCCAAACAGGATGTTTATGGGTGGATGGGGGGGGACACAAGTTTCAGCCCTAAAACACGTATTGGACTGCAATAGCACCCTGAAAAATCCTTTAAAGGAAAAAATCAACTGCAGAAATTTTCCGTTGCCTGCCTCTGGTTTGATTTTGAGGGCTGGAAGGCCACATGGGGTTTATATTATGTTGTGTTTGTTTGGAAAATCACAGCCCCCAAAGGTTTCTAAGAGTGGAAAAATGACTTTTAAACAAAAATAAGTGTGTATGGGGCTGCATACGTCCTGGGGGGGTTTGGGATGATGGGAAAAAAATCCCACACAAGCCCCATTTTGGTCATCCAACGTAAAGTTTGCAGCGTCAAAATCTCAGCCCTTTCTGATTTGCAAAAATGGCAATCTAACCCATCCTTTTTGTTTGTTTGTTTCTTCACAAAAAAAGAAAACAAAGAGCCATTATAAGTAATAAAAACAAATCTATTTTACAGAGGATCTGCTCCTGGCTGAGAGAAAATATTGCTAGGATGGATCGGTCGATATGGACCCGCATGACTGTCTCCGTTTTCTAATCTTCTTTCAGGATCTTAGCTAAAAGGGCCATCATGATGAGCATCTGTCCCTCAAGGATGCACAAAGGATGGAGGAAAGAGACCAGATATACATCCGGGCGAACGGTTGTTTCCAGCATTTACACACACACACATACACACACACACACACACACACACACACGTTTACCTCACATCCGCTCAGGTCCAGGTGGAGTTCGCTCAGGTGAGTGTTGGCTGACAGGCCTTGGAAAAGAGACCTGAGTAAGGAATGTAAAAAAAAAAGATATTTCTGTTTTTAACTCATTTGATCTTTAGTTGCAAGCCTCCCTCAGAACTCTGCTGCCGAAAGTTGGCTCACAAATATTGGCACAGCAATTCGATCAAATTAAACTAAAATGGCTTGGAAGACGTGATCAACGCCTTTTCTTTCTGACATGGAAACATCTCTAAGCATCACGGCTACGTCGACGTGCACGAGAGGCTGCTCCAGTTCCTCAGAACAACCCCTGCCACGCATGTGTTTCTTCCCCCCAAAAAAGGGAATCGTAGGAAGTACAGAAAGCGGTGTGGTGGGATTATGACTCGCCGAATTTCCCTGCACGGCAACCAGCTTTTCTCAGCCGTAAGAAGAATGCCAGCCGGCACCGCAAGAGCTTACCTTAAGGCCTCGATGGGCATTTTGATGCCTGACAGGTTGACAAAGCTGAGGGAGTAGGCGCTGCAGAAAAACTGCTTGAGAGAAGGTGTCAGTCCCTTTCCTTTCCTGCAGACGGAGACACCACAACAGAGAAAAATGCTTTCCCCCCCCGGCCCCTCTTCCAGAGTCTTGAGAAGATTACCCCGATCCAAGGTCTCGTACACAGTCGAGAGAGATGAAAGAAGCCCCGGCTCCTTACCGATGAGAGAAGGTGTTCCGTGCGAGGTTGAGGTAGCTAAGCCGTGGGCAACAGCCGTGCAACAGTGCCCCGAACAACTATGGGGGCAGACAAGACAGACACACACCGAGAAGTGAATCCGTGTCCCGAGCACGAAAGTTTATACCACACCACCTATCAACCCCCACTGTGGTGCCCCTTAATGGAGTGTGATTTCCATGCCCTGCCACAAAAATACAATAGGACCCCCCTATCCGCAGGACCGGTATCCGCTGATTCGCTTATCCGCTGGCTGAAAATACTAAATTAAAAACCCCAGAAAGACTTTATGTATTTCCAAGGTGTATTTACCAGAATCGGCCACTAGAAGGTGCCAGAGACCATGCAATGTCTAGAGTTTGATATTTCTGCATTTCACGGCATCCACGGGGAGCGGAGAGGGCTCGCAACTGATCCCCTAAGGATATCGGGGCCCTACCACATAGCTAGCTGTCTTAAAATCTTACTGCATCGACGGCACAGTCGGTGGAGGATAAGTCCAGGTGAAGCAACGCATTTGGCTGGGCCAGGAAAGAATAGAAACCCTGCAAGGGGAAAGCGAGAATGAAAGGGAGGAACCAAACCCACAGAATGGCCGTCATCCCTCCCATCAGCAAGAAACATGTTTAAATGATAAACTACACTCCAGAAGCCATCGGTATTACATAACCCATGCACCGAATTGTCAACACGTCTACCTCTTCTGTGCTGAAGACAGCAAAGGAGACTCGCGAGTCATGACTCCTTATCGGACTTGACTCAAACCCAACTCAGGGGTCAGGGGGGCTGTCCACGTATGTGTCAGCCTCTGCTGGGTGGCCCACGCACAGCCCAAGCCCCGAGTCCCAAGCCTTGGGAGTGGGTGGGGCAAAAGGACTCAAGACTCTGACTCGAGGTCTCGAAGATTTGCTCTCAAGACTCAAGTCCCAAAGCCCGGCCGATGTCTGTGGCTGAAAACATCGTACCCGCATAACAGAGCAACAAACATATTTTTCCATGTATAAGACTATACTCACCCGCATAACAGAGCAACAAACGAGGCTTTAAACTGAACTCTTGCACTCAGACCCTGTCAATGTACCGTATTTTTCCGTGTATAAGACTATACTTTTGTCTAAAATCTTTAGACTAAAAATTGAGGCTCGTCTTATACACAGAAGTAAGATGAGGAGAGAACAAAAACAAGTGGAGGGGAAAGCAGGGATCAAAGCGATCCTGCAGCGCTTCAATCCCTTTCCCCCTACACTTGCTAAGCCCCACTTAGATTTCTTAATTTTGGGTTAGAAAAGTGAGGGGCGCCTTATACTGTACACAGGGGCATCTTATACACAGAAAAATAAGTCTTTCGTCTTTTCACGACCCAGAGCTGCAGAGTTTGGAAGGAACCGCTTGCTTCTGGGGGTAAAGCGGAAGTAACTAAGTTACATTTCAAAAGTAATAGGCACCCACCATTTGTTCTGGTGTTCACGAATACTGTTTTCTAGTTCCTTTTTGGAGTTATTGCTGAAATTTATTTTCAACAGGCAGCTAAATTTTAAGAGGGGTGTTTTGAGGTGTGTGCCATGCTCTTATCATATCCACCCTGCGCCTCCTGGGGCCAGGGTTGGGCTCCGTCGTCCACAGGGTCCCTTCCTACTCTGCAGTCTTAAGGTTTCTTATCCAGGAGGCAGCCGGGGTTTCTCACATTTGCTTCGTCCGACCCGAGCAGCCCGGGGTTCTTGCTCAAATCCAGATGTCGGAGAGAGCTGGTGAAGGCTGGGTTGGCATTGAAGCTCTGGCACAGGATGGCGAGTCCTGGGAAAGGAAACAGAAACCGGATGCTCGTCACCAATCCTTTAAACATCCCTTAAAAAACATTTGGCCGCTCTTTCGTTCTTCACAACAACCCTGCGAGGGAAGAGGGTGCTTTGACAAGGAGACCAGACACAAAGGATGCCCCAGAACTATTATAAAGCCATGACCCTTCTGAAAAGGGTCACTGTATTTTTCCGTGTATAAGACACCCCATTTTTCTAATCCAAAATTAAGAAATCTAAGTGGGGCTTAGCAAGTGTAGGGGGAAAGGGATCGAAGCGCTGCAGGATCGCTTTGATCCCTGCTTTCCCCTCCACTTGTTTTGGTTCTCTCCTCAGTTTACTTCCGTGTATAAGATGACCTTCAATTTTTAGTCTAAAGATTTTAGACAAAAGTATAGTCTTATACA